AATAAAGTTTAATGCATTACCCATTATGTTCATTATGCTTTCACTATAAAGATATACCAATAAATATATTTATAAAATTAATTTATCTCTATTTTTCAGTATTTTATAGGGTCATATGAATAAATTGTCAGCAGATCTGAGTTTGGATATTGGTTCCACTTACCACTTGTTTGACCTTGAGGAAGCTCTGAATTTCAATATACTGTACTAAGCTTTAAATGTTTATCTTTAAGATAAACTTCAAGGTTCTTAATTGGCATAATTTAACACATATTTCTCTTATTTAAAATATTTTAGGATTTACTCTGTACCAGACATTGTTCTTGACTATAGAGATGTAGCAGTGAGCCCCTGGTCTCATGGTGTTTGTGAAGGATCAAAATTAATTAAGAAATTAACATAGTTGACAAGTATGATGAATGTTTCAAGGGAAAGTATAGTATGTTAAATTATCATTTTGGAAGAGAAAGCTCTTTGAGATGGAGGTGGGGTCAGGTAAGGCCTTGCTTAGTAAAGTGACATTTAACCAGGAAACTAAATGAAGCAAGAGAGTGAGTCACGTGTATATATGGCATGACATATCTGCCTAATTTCATTTAGGCAAGTTTTCACATCTAAGTGGAATACACATTTGTACAGGAAGCTACCATATAAACAGGATTTGAAAGAAGCTGGGAAGTAAAGAGGCTAGCAGGAAAATATATAAAGGAAGGGATAAGAAAACAGCAATAGTGAGGAAACATTTCTTTCTCTTTGTTCAACTGGAGACCTCTTGTACGGAGTTTCTGGGTTTGTGCACCAGCACCCTGGCCTACTAGATCCTTACACGGTGGAAGGTACTTAGAAGTAGGCTCCTGCAGGGAGTGAGCTCCAAAGGAAGAAGGAATACTGCTTTTCCAGTCTTTTCACATGAGCCCACTAAACTTTTCTCAGGATTAACCTTCAGGAGAAAAAGAAAAAAGGAACTGAGCTAGGGTTAAATAGGGTCCCTGGGCCAATTATATACAGTTCTTTTGATATCTGTGCATGAAGTATAGTTAATCTGGAAGCCTGTATAAGAGTCAGCCCAGGTGTACACATACCTAAACAAAGAAGTACTTTCAGAAAATGATTAATACGAGCCCTCTGAATAAACAGTGGGAGACATGGATATTGCACATGCAATTCTCCAAAAATTCTCCAAAGAACATTAGACTTGAGCAATGTAGTAAAAATTGATTCATTGTTCTGCTAGGTCTTTTTTCTCCCTGTGGTAAAAGAATCAAAATTCTCATATGGCAGTTCTAAGTTCAAAGACAGTTACTTCAGATGAGAGTGCCAATTTTATAGCATGCTAACTAGCGTGTGTGAAAGCTATCGCTATTATGCACTTGAATTACTGGAGTGAAAGTCTATTAATACCAAATGTTTTAGAAAACAAGCTGTGCCAAATTTAAGCTTCTTAGGGTTTATTTGTTACATAGTTCAACCAGTTTCCCAATCTATCTAGACCTTGACACCATATTTTTATGTTACAATCTTAGTAACTTGAAAAGCTTCCACTTCTGCACATGCTAGTTCCCGGCTCTGGTCTACCACTTACAACAGCTGCTTTATGCTCTAGCCCGCCCTTCAGCCTCTGACAGCAGCCAGGCAACAATGGACATTTCTGGGGAGGGCAGGGATGATGGCTGGCTTGTTCACAGCTATAGTCTAAACTCTTAGCACAGGGTCCTACTTAAGAAATATTTAATAAATGAATAAATGGATATCTGAGATCCTCTGTCTTATATCTCCAATGCTCTTTTCTGATGAGGATCTGGAAGAGAAGACAGGCAGGAGATCATATTTATACAATGTGGCTATTGATGTTTATTTCCTCCTTTTTGATAGGATTATGGACAAGCAGACAGAAAATGTGTTAGGCAAAGTATACTTGACCAAATCTCTCAAGATGTTCTTGTGCAGAAAATTAGACTAAATCCCAATAGAATTAGGAAGATTCACAACTGCTGAACAATTGTACCAAAAAAACAACAAAAAAACAAACACACACACACACACACACACACACACACACACACACCCCCACAAACCCTGATGATCAGACAGATATCAACTTGGAGGAGAGTGTTGAGAGCCAGGTCTTATGGCTCGGTCCTTGCTTGGACCTTCCCATGCAATGGTTTTATTTTAATCTTTATCAATATCCTCAATTAAATTAGTGAATAAAAGCTTTCTCAATTTGACAACAAGTCAAAAAGTTAGTAATTATGTTGGATAAGTGAATCAGCACCCAAAAGGACTTTGACAGATTACTGCAATGGGAACAATCTAACTTAAGAATTAGGTAGCATTTCTAAGAAATTTCTTATGGAGGAAAAGGTGACATAACTGCAGCTCTTGTGAAGTCTTCAGGATAAATGTAAATATCTACTTAAATTCAGGTAATGGGCTGAACAAGTACCAATTGGAGCAAAAAGAGTAATTCATGTGAAAAAGGAATGAGTTTTAATTGACATCAAGTCCAACCTAAATAACACTGACGACTGCCTCCCAAAAAAGATAATGTGATTTTAGCCAACTTTAAGATACCTGTGCTATCTTTAGAAATCAATCAAGTACTTATGGATCTTCTATTTGCAATGTTCTAGGTACTGTGTGGGATAGAGAAGTATCAGGCATAAAATCTCATTTACTTATTTGAAAAATTAAGGTATGAGAGTCATCAGCTTACTCCTGAATGGGGTCTAATTAATCAGGTACTACTGTACAGAGTTAAGCAATGAAGTATATCTGTGCATGAAGGTTGATCCATAATGCTTGATCCATAATGCTTGAGAAAAGACAGTCATAAGCATGAGAAGTCAGATAAATGATGCATTCCATTCCAAACTCTCTACTGAGCCAAGCCAGATCTGTGAGCTATTAGTACACTGAGGTCATGGCACAACCAAAGTTTGTGGAGTCCTGATAGCAGAGGGGGAAAACAGCTGCTTCTATATAAGTCAAATGTATAATTTACCAAAATACCCAAAGGTTGCATATTATATCACATTACTCTTTACAGTGATGGTGCACTACCCACAAAAACAGTCACATTTCCTTCTCAGGTGGAGTTTCCAGGGCACCACATTCTCCCTACTTTGTGCCTATCTTTGGATTTTTAATTTAAGGCTGGAAAAAGTCACACTAGCGAGTGGATACCAATTCCTCCAAATTTATGGCTCTAATCTCAGCTGGTCCTCAGTGAAGCGCAGAATAGCTTCCACAGTTTTCCTCTCTATACCCACAGGAGCTTTTCCAAACCACCACCTCTTCCCTAGTTACATCCCTCTCAGACATGACCTAACCACCTCACTTCCTATCTCATAAAGTACATTCTGTTCTTTACATTACTGCATCTCAGCTCAAATCTGTTCTGATGTCCACTCATCCTGTCTTCTTCATAGGAAGATGCCTCTCCTTCTGCTAAAGGCCAATTCTTTCATCTCTTTGAAGCTGGTGATATTGTTGAGTTCTCCCTTCTTGAATTCTCTATTAGCTTCATGCCTCTAGCCTCATTTTCCTCCTCCACTCCTAGCTCCTCTTCAGGCATCTTCCTCTGCCCACTTTTAAATGTCATGTTACGTGAATCTGTCCATGGTTCTCCTCTCACACTGACTAAGGCAGCATGATCCACTAGTCACTCTCCCTGAGCAGGCTCTTGGTCTCTCTGATATATCTGCTCCACTTGTCTGGGTCCATTTGTCCTTCAATATGCTCAGCATTTAATTGTTGCCTGAAATAGATCTAAGTGAAATAGATCTACTCTCTATGCTCCCTTCTCCTGAAACTCTCAATAGGACCCTACCACAGGTTCTCTCATGTAATCACTGGTTTCCATGCTTTTATCTTCTGCTAAATTGCTAACTCCTTGTAATAAGAGGCTGCATTGTTCTTTGCCATATCTCTGTGTGGAAAGGGCTTAATAAACATTTATAAAGTGAATGGATTAACTTACTTATATGTGCAAAATATGATGCTGGTAATGAGGTTCCTGATTCGGGAGACATCCAAATATTGTCCAAATGGTTAACTGGTGGGGTTACCATTTGATAGAGATGTGGACCAAGTGACTTAATGGCCCTACCAAGAGGAAAAATTTATGATGTTATGATTCTGTATCAAGTAAATCTTCTTAAAGTTACTTTATTTTAAAATATGTTTTGATTTTTTACAGAGAGGAAGTGAGAGGGACAGTTAGAAACATCAATGAGAGAGAAACATCTATCAGGTGCCTCCTGCACACCTCCCACTGGGGATGTGGCTGCAACCAAAGTACATGCCCTTGACCGGAATTGAACCTGGGACCTTTCAGTCCCTAGGCCGATGCTCAAACCACTGAACCAAACTGGTTAGGGCTAAAGTTACTTTTTTTAAGACTAGGAATTAACAAAGTCTATACAGACTATTACAAATTGAAAAGTACATTGGTGCTATTATTTTGTCCTTTTTCTTAGCAGACAATTGAAACACTTTTGGGTAACTATTGCTATGTGTTATGGTGGCACGAGCCACTGGCTAATGAAGACCTCAACCATTCTTGAACCCTAGACCAGTGGTCGGCAAACCACGGCTCGTGAGCCACATGAGGCTCTTTGGCCCCTTGAGTGTGGCTCTTCCACAAAATACCATGCGTGGGCACGCATGTACAGTGTGAAGTTGACTTAAAACTTTAAGTAAAGTTTATTAAGTTAATTTTAGGGAACGTTGTGGAGTGAAAGAAGATGTAGTGTCGAGGATTGAGAAAGGTATGTTGAGATGGTTTGGACATACAGAGAGGATGAACAAAAGGAGATAGACGAAACAAGTAGACAAGACGAGTGTGGATGGCAGAGTTGGAAGGGGTCGACCTCAGCGAACATACCTCAATCAGATTGAGGACGTTTTTAGCAAAGGCCAGCTTAGGAGTACCCTAATTAAGTTAATTACAATGTACCTACCTATATAGTTTAAGTTTAGAAAATTTGGCTCTCAAAAGAAATTTCCATTGTTGTACTGTTGATATTTGGCTCTGTTGACTAATGAGTTTGCCGACCACTGCCCTAGACCTATAAACCTAGCAGGCCTTAGAGGAAAGGGATCTTTGTTCCTCAGCAGATGGCCTCAAACTTTCTATTGTAGCTGCTAACCAACCATTGGACCTTATCTGATAGGTGTGCTGGACTTAGAAAATTTGTGTCTTCAGCAGCTCCCTTAGAGACCACATGTAGCTGAAGTAAAAAGAGGATGATGACAAGAACATCTTTTCCTCTACTTTGCACTATTTTAAACATAAAGCTATTTGTGTTTCAGGCTTTTAAAAATATTGGGCCTTATGGTAAGAGTATAAAAGAAAATAACTTTATCATTTCTGGCATGGTTGGAGACATTAAAAGAGCTCTGATTGTTGAATAAAAGCACAGCTTTAAACCTTCCTGAGAGATTGTTACTTCCTCACTAATTCCCCCTAAGGAAAATATTTAAGATCAGTATGAAGTTAAGAGACTACAGCTTTTTCTTCTGAGGATTACCTTTCATGAAAATGATAAAATGGAAAAATAATTATTTCACAAAGTCCAATAAAAGAGCCAAATCCTTCCAACAAATCCACAGATACCATTACCTTTAAATACCCTCCACTTATCAGGGGGGAGAAAAATAAAACTTCCTTAGATCCATTCAAATATAAAAACATTCTTTACTACATTGAATTTTATAAAATCCCATTGTTAAATACTTCCTCTCGAGCTCCTGCCAAATGGGAGAATTGCTGCTGAAACAGACAAGGAATATGTGACCTCCTCCCCTCCCTGATGAACATCAGGGTTACACTTTGGCACACACACAGATCTATGTTCTACAAAGGATGCAGCTTTTCAGAGATGTGAAGGATCTGGAATGAGAACACTGGCCCTCATCAACCCACTTCCTCTATTGGAAGGGAGTCTCCCAAATAGTGCTCTAAAGGAAATGCTGGGATGAAGTCACCCATGTTTAGTAAAGTAACAGTAGCCTGATGATGTGACTGTCTCTGAAGTGATACAAAGCACAGCGGTTAGCCTGAAAGTTCACTGGGACTTTTTAATAATGTAATTTTAGACAAATATTTGCACAGATGCACACACATATTTGTTCTGCTTCAATGGGACTCATCCAAGTGCTAGTTTAAAAATATAAACACAGGGAAACTGCTGTAGTAATGACTAACAAAATACAGCAATTAATTGCAAGAGCTGAATACTGTTCATCTAATAAAAAGTAGAAGGTGTGTGGGAGGAAAAGGAGTGAAATTCTCTAGCAAGTGAGGCCAGTGGAATTTAATAATTCACTCTGGCAATCATATTTGTTTAAGTCAGCAGGCCAATGTTCCTACTGTGCTGTACAATGCCAGGGTTAGTTTTCATCTTACCCACCATGTTAAGAGAGGGACTGCTTCTAGCCAAGCTGCATAAATACTATCACTGCAGCAGGCCTTGAATATCTACCATTTATTACAGATCTCTGAGCAGATCTGTGAAATCCAGAAAGGACTGTTAGTTCAGAGATGAATTTGGCTGAGATGACATCAGATTATTTGAAAATGTGTTATTCAGCAATATTTCCTAAGTGGCCTGTGTGTCAGCAGATAGTTGTGCTCCAATTATAGGACAGAAAATAGTCTCCAGACTATATTTTTAACATTCCCTTAGTAATAGAAATAGAGAACACGCGATGGAAAACTCTCATGGTTTTCTCTTTTTATGAAGCAATGTTTTTACTGTTCAAAGATATTTTCCTCATCACTTTTCACTGAAATTAACTTCCTCTTCAAAAGTTAAGAGATGCAAGGGTGAAGAGATTATGACAACATGTATATATTGCTATAGCTTCAAAAGCAGATAGATGTAACTAATGGTCAGAATAACACAACTAGGTTAATTAACACCTATTATACAAATAGCTCCTATGGAAGGTCCATATGGGCACTGGGAAGGCAAAGACATGGGAAGTATAAGAATACGTAGCTACACATACGTTTTTGTTTTCTGTGCTTATTCACTGGTTAAACTAATACTTCATCAGGATTAACTCTTTATTAGTTATTTATGGCAATAACCCAGAAACCATAGACCTGGTTTTTCATACAGCAGATAGTCAAATACTACCTAGCAAATATTTTTTCCCTACAGTAAATATATGGTGGAAGTATCTGTGAAAAGAAATCTAAATATTGTTTCAATGGAGGAGGACAGAGAATTAGGTGTTTGGAAAGAGGGACATTTATGAAGAAGCACAGTTTCACAACTCCTATGCAATAAAGAGAGACTTGCGCAGTTAGTCCCAGTGTGAGGTTACTTCCTTTTTACCAAAAAGCATCTGGCTGTAACCAGCAGATGCCCACTGAACACAGCCCAGAAGAGGTCAGCAGCTGCATATCAGAGCCCCAAAGTGGATCCTGGTGGTGCCAGAATGAAGAGTGACTTCCTGGAGGCACATGGGGAGTTAGCAATTTCTGGAGTGAACAAGAAGATGTGATTATCTCAGAGAGACAGTGAGGAAGACTAGATGTGAAAGTCCGAATTTAGAGCAACAATAGATTGGGAGACTGGAAAATCTTCAAACTTATACTAAAAGCCATAACCAGGAAGCTCCAATTCTGACAGGTGTGAAAAGAAACATCATGAAGGAAGAGAAGAGCCAAATCGGGGTCAATCCCCTCAGCCACAGCTGTCTGAGTTGGTGAAGTGCCTTCCTTGGAAAACTGAAAGTTAGTGTCTGTGTATAATTTGAGGGATAATAATTTTGCTTAAAATAACCTTTTTAGAAAATTTTGAATAGTTCCCCCCTAGTATTCCTCACAGTCCTAGCTGAGGAGGGCAGCTGTGATACGGAAAAATAACATCCTATTATGGCTACCTTTGCCAAAATAGCCTCTCCTTCTGAAGGCCTGTCTGACCCAGACCGCAGAACCTCCTGGACTGAGAACAAGCCGGGCCATTGTGACTTAGAAGTATCCCGGTGCTTAGAAGACACCAAGACGGCCAGGAGACAATGGCAGCATAGAGGGCTCTGGATGAACAGAATATGTAATTTCATTTAACAGCTGCGGAAGCTCATTAACTACGCTGGCATGAATGATTCTTTACAACTACAAAAAGAAAGAAAAACAGCAGCCTATTTACAGAGGCAGCCAGAGCCGACCCTTGTTTTCTAGCTTTCAAGGGAAACAAAACATTTCTGCATAATTGTATCCTATAATTCAACACCATTTAAAAGTGTAGATATTTTTGCACCACATATGTAGAGCCTCCACAACATTCCAGCAGTTTCTGACTACATGGCTTCCAGGTTCCCTCTGACCTGCTGAGGGGTAACCAGGCAGCACAGAGCAGGCACCTCTTTAGGCACGTGCCCTCCCTGAACTCCCCAACACACCATGTGCTTCCTCACATCCTCAACCTGAGGAAAGTATGACTCAAGTGCCTTTCACTGCTCTTCAGGCTTACATTGGCTGTTCTTTCTTATGTGATTATCAGCACTTTTTATTCTTTACTTAGGTTCTCTTCTACTTCCTGAGTGACCTTGAACAAGGCATTTAGCCTTTCTGTGCTTCACTTTCTTAATCTGTAAAATTATGATAGCACCTAACTCCCAGGACTATTGTGAGGATTAAAGTAATTACAAAAACACAACAGTGCCGGGCACATACTCAATAAATGCCAGTAAGTATTTTATTATTACTTCCATTATTCAGGACATCATGTGCCAATATTGCTTATTTTACATGTATTTCAACTTCACCTCAATAAAAATTGTTTGAGTGCAGTACTGGAATCTAGGGGGAATATGGGTGCATATCAGCATCTTTTACCCTCTTTCCTCCCTGACTCCCCTGCTCCTACCCCAGATACATACACGAAGAGGAGGAATGTTGCTCTTCAGTGGGGCAGGTTTGCTGACATTTCTTGGCCAATGGGCTCAGCTGAAAGACATGGGCACAGTTTTTATCACATTTGGGTAAACTTTCTTGTGGATGTTCTTCCTCCCAACAGTAAACGATATGATATACTCCTCTCCTCAGATACTCTATTCTGCTCAAGATCTCTCATAAATATGGGGCTCTAGGCTAAAGGAGTATGAAATGGTTCAGCCTGGTTCATTGGCATCCTATACTGGGGTTGGAGGGAATGTTCCATTTAGTAATGTTATGTTTTCTTTTCTTAGCATGTTTTTCCTGTGAGACCTTTTCATGAAGGGATGGCGGTCTCCAGTGGGATTCAGGTAATTCTGGGTCTCTGGTCCACATGCCATTATCTCATCCCACCTTTATTAGCAACCACAGGGATCAAGTCTTTTTCAACTTTGTATCCTTCAGTCCCTAACATTCACTATTCTTTATACTAGTGGCATTCAATATTTATTGAAACAACCTGTTACACATCATTTAAAAAAATTATTACCCACATTCTGATAGGGTTAGTCAATATGTTTGAGGTCCCATAATTACATTTAATTTAACTCAAAATTCAAAGAACATTTTATGATAACAAGTACTAATCTGGTAAAATTACCAGTAAAATTCAAACTTGTCATCATGGTCTACAGGGCCCTGTCTTGCCTAATCCTATCTTGCTCATCTGAACCAGAACACTTCATAATTTTTGCCTGATCCAACTTCTGCTTATTTACACTTGCTATTCCCTCTGCCTGGATTGCTTTCCCCCTACCCCATAATTTTGATGGGCTGCTTCTCAGGACAAAGGAACCCATATCATGAAGAGAAGGAAATAAAGGAAGACGACCCATGAAAAAATGACATTAAGTATGAGACCTAAAGTATGAGTGTGCAAGAATTTATGTTTAGAAGTAGAGGTGGGTTAAATAAGAGTATTCAATTTATACAGAGGGAAGAGCTAAGACAAAGACTTTGGAATGCAAAGGAATAGAGCAAGGTTGTTCAGAGAATTGAAAGTTGGTGTGGCTGGAGCTTAGAAAGCTGGGGCAGAGCAGAAGATGGGGCAGAAGCAAATAATGAATAGCCCCTTTAAAAGATGCTCCCACAGAGTGCAGTGCAGCATTTATGTACCATAGCCATTAAGTAATATCTTAATCTAAGATATAATCTATCTATATAAAACCCTAATATGCAAATCGACAGAATGGAGGAATGACTGGTTGCTATGATGTGTACTGACCACCAGGGGGCAGACGCACAATGCAGGAGCTGCCCTAGCCTGCTGGCCCCGACCAGCGGCGGCAGCGGGTGGTGAGGCCAGTGAGCGAGTGGTGCCAGGCCAGCCAAGGCGGGTGCGAGCAAGACCCCCCCCGATTGCCCCACCATCGCCCTGCAGAGGGAGGTGACCGGCAGCAGCAGCGGGGCTGGCGATGGGTGGCGCCAAGCCAAGGAAGGTGCAAGCTGGGGTCCCAATCACCCTGCCAGTCACCCCACAGATTGGACCTGATCGCCTGCCAGGCCTAGGGACCCTACCCACGCACAAATTTCAAGCACCGGGCCTCTAGTCATCCTATATAATAAAAGAGAAATATGTAAATTGACCATACACCTGCGATGCCCACCAGACAATCAGGAGTGAGTATGCAATGGTGGGTTAATTTGCATACACAGGCACCGGGTGGAGAGCAGAGCGACAGAGTCGGCAGCTTGGGGGGACGTGGCTCCCTCAGTCACTCCCCCCAAGCCGCCGGGCAGAGAGCAGAGAGGGAGAGCTGGTGGCTTGGAGGACTTGGCAGAGTGGGAGGCCGTGGGATGGAGACAGAGCAAGAAGAGAAAACCAAGAGTGCGGGGAGCACCAGGAATGCTGGGAATTGTAGTTCTGGTGGCAGACGGATCTCCTAGGCCAGTGATGGCGAACTTTTTGAGTTTGGCGTGTCAGCATTTTGAAAAACCCTAACTTAACTCTGGTGCTGTGTCACATATAGAAATTTTTTGACACTTGCAATCATAGTAGAACAAAGATTCATATTTTTGATATTTATTTTCTATATTTAAATGCCATTAAACAAAGAAAAATCAACCAAAAATCGCGTGTCACCTCTGACACACATGTCATAGGTTCGCCATCACTGTCCTAGGCACTAGAGCAAAGTGAGCTTGGAGCAAGTTACTGTTGCTGTGCAAGTTACTGTGGGGAATGGAGGGAAAGCAAAGGTGAGAGACATAAGTCAGTGTCGAGGAAAAATTAAAGGGAAGATATCCTGCAACTTCTAAGAAATCTTCACCAATGGAGCAAAGAAAAAAAAAGACCTCTATTATTCTGTGAGCACCAAACCAAACTGGGTTGGGGTCTCAGACAATTCCCTCATATGATTGCAAAGACAGACAGAAACTCTCGGATTGGAGAGGGCTCCCCTGAGGGCTCCCAGATTGGAGAGGGTGTAGGTCGGGCTGAGGGACCCACCCCCCATGCATGAATCTTCATGCACCGGGCCTTTAGTTCTTAATAAGAAAAAATCCTGCTTTCATTGGAATTCTCTTATTCTTCCTTAACCTAAAAATAATTGGTAGTTAGATGTTAGTCACTCTCAGGACTCTTCTGTTCTCTTCAGAAAGAGAGAGCTACTATGTCCAGAGTCAGAACACGGCACTGCTTACCCGGCCCTGGGACTTATTTTCCATTTCCTAAACATAAACCTGACTTCTCCCAGCACTGGTCTTGAGTGTTATCTTGGGTGGGAAACTAAATTAAAGCTGGCTTTAAGAATTAAATAGGAACCAACAACCGAATATTTTCTAGAAAAAAAACTTTATATTTTAGTAAATTGCATTTTGACAAATTGAATTTATGCTATTAAAATAGCCTTAAATATTTAGAATTTCTAACAATTCAAAATTATTTATTTTTAATTAGAGATTTAGGAACAAGTTATAAGAAATTAACAAAATCAGCCCAAAAACTAAAGCTAAAGTACAAAGAGGTTAGATGAAGTACAAAATACCACTGAACATTATTCTTTCTGTGAATAAACAGAGTACAAATTTCCTAGATTTTTATTCAATATCTGACTGTCAGAACTTATTTAAAGTAAAATACAGATTTACTGGAGAACTGGAAAAAGACAACTATATTTCTGATATGACCAAGAAAGCCACTGATAGTATATGAAAAAGAATAAATGTTTCAAAATTAAATTTTCCAGACAGACAGTCCATAGTTGAAAGATTATAATTCCAAAGATAATTTTAATGTAACATGATAATTAAAGATTAAAGAATTTAACAAAATCACTTTCTTAATATGTACTTAGAAAGATCTATTATGTGCAAAATATGAATACTGCAAGTTGAATACCTGAATTTGCAACTTTCACCAATTTTCTGTCTCATTTCAGCATACTTAACACTCAGTGGCAATAAATCTTCATTTACATAGGACAACAATGCTTCCATTCATTAACATCACAAATCCTGTAAATAAATGTATTTCCGCTGTGGGAATCTTGACTGTGCCACTCTTTTATGGCATTGGAACATTTCTTTATATCTTTACTGCATGCATTTCTTTAGCTTTTAAATATATTTTCCTACATTGGTATAAGTGTTTGCTCAAGAGTTTAACTCCTTAGCTTAAAAGACCAAATCCAAAATTCAGAAATGGTAGTTCAGTCTCTTCAAGGAAGCACATTGAGAATAATAGGCTTATAATACATCAACCCACTGTATATAACATTTTATGTTTTCCAACACACATGCCAGTAAGGTATCTCACATCCTGAAATATCATGGTGTCATTTTTGAATTTAGAGCTGTGGAGATATTCTGATTTTACTCAGTGTCATTATGATACCTGAAGGAGCTCATTCATTAATTTGTTTAACCATGTGGGGCAGTGAAGCCTTTGGGGACAGTAAGTTCACATTGAGTGTTTTGTGCTGAATGAATCCCCAATCTACTTCGTGTTCATTTGCATTAAAAGCCTCTACTCTCAAAGTACTGGATCATTAAGTTTATATAATAATTAGATATACAAATTAGGAAAGGCAGATTAAGTATCACTTGGCAACATTAACTTGCCCACCACATTCACACTGATGATTTAAAGTGTGTATTAATTAGCGAGATATACTTATTCATGCATGACAACTAAAAAAGCCTATTGAAGAATATTTATTTGATTGACTATTGTTTCTAATAATAAGCACATTCACAGGATAAGGTTGCCTCCCCTAATTTTCTTTACTGGCTTTTTGCCATTAAGAAGAGTTAAAAAAAAGGAAGGGGAAAAATAATCATAAGAAACCCAATCTCTTAAATGATTTAACAACTTAGCTCATGCACACAACAGCTATAAGTACACACTATTAAACACATCTTCCGTATCTACTTAGGATACTTACTCTGATACAGTGCAATACAAAGCATGTCTTTTCCATTATTTTAGTGAGACTGATAGGCTGGTTAACCAAGAACTTCAGTAAGATTTCAGTAAGTCAAAAATTAAGAGAAATAATTAACCCTGGTTATTCTTCTAATACAGAAAAACAACTGGCATCTTTGCATTATTTTTAAGCCACCACAAACTGACACCACTTCAAGAGAGATTTTTTCCCCCTGAAATAGTAATATCTAGCTACAATTTTAGTGAAAGAAAACAAGGCAATTCTGAGAGCAATCTGTTTGGGCAGAGCCAGGTTTCCAAGGTATATCCTCCTCATTCTCATACAGGCCTTCATGTGAAACCTTCGCCTCCACAGTCCTTGCCCCTGGTTTTAGGACAGGTTTTATAGATAGCATCATGACCGAATGCAGTGCAGGTTCAAATCAGAGTTTTAAGGTCAGGAAATAAGTATCATTTAAATGAGTCATGAATGCCACTTTTAGAATCTCTTGCACTTCCTTTAAAAATCTCCCTTCCAAGAATGTGCCAATTTTTATTTTGGCAAATTATAAATAAAAACCAAACATACAGTAGCTATGATGATTACTCAGTGTAGTGCTATCTTTTTAATGTTACAAACTTTACA